GCATGCAGGCCTGAATTGTGATCTAGTTTTTTAATCAAAAACCAATGTGGGGGAAAAATAGTTTTTCCCGCATTTTTCAGACATTTTTTTAAAACTTTGTTATAGGATAACAAAGATATTTAAGATAATATTGTAGATTATTATTGTGTTTTAAAAAGTTTATAGAAATTGAATATCTACGCATTCCATATGTTCAAAACTTATAATTTCAACTCTTAAAATTTAGGTTTTATAGGAAGAGTAGATTAAATAATTTGTTTTTATACATTTTTACATATTTATTTTTAAATTTAAAATTTTTAACAATATTCTTTAAATAGTTATATAATAGCAGATGCAAATATTTTTGACATTTCTATAATTCTTATTCTTCATTTTCTTCTTGTTCGTTTCGTACATCTTTCAATCATGTTTCAGCTAACCTAAAAATTAAAATTGGGACGTCCTAACAGTTTTGCCAAGCTGCCAGTTTTAGAATTAGGTTAAGGTGCAGCCTGCTTTTCTATTTTTCTAAGTACACACATTAGATGTGTCAGCAACTAAATTCGAACTGATTCAGCTACAAACAGACACATTATTTCTGGTGCTTTTTCCATTAGGGTGAACTGACTTCTCCCAGCCTCATCTCAAATGTTGTCTCCATTCACTAACGGAATAAATTTATCATCGGAGAGTTCCCTTCCATTTTTCCTGTTCAATTTTCTTTTTTCTTCTTGTTTCTACATTTCGAGTTATTGTGACATTGAGTTGTGGAGTAGGTAAGAAAGAGCTAAGGAAGTTTGGAGGAGGAAGGGTATGAGGGATTTCAGTATAAGATCCCTGTTTTCCTTTGTGTTAAAGTCGTTATGCCATAAGCAAAATGGGTAGTTGAAAGCCTTAGAGCCCCATCAGGTCGAATCTTCCACAGTAGTCCAGTCCTTACAGCCGGCCAAGTAAACAAGCGGTATTATTGTGCATTGCTTGTATACCTATCAGGGGTTATACTTCTGTGTTCCTTCTTTCAGCTGACATGTTGATAAGCTGTTAAGCTAAAGACGGAGTTATTGTTTACTGTTTAATTCCCATGTTCGCTACTCCCCTGAAGGATAAGTCATAAGCAACTCTACGCAGCGCTCTTCCGAGCTATGGAGCCGGTGTGGCGTTATTTCTGGGTAAACGTTAAATAATGGTAGTAGTCTCTAGGCAGCAAATTTTCCGCGGCATTCGCACACAATCTATATATAAATTTGGCTTGTCTGTTTGTTTGTCTGTTTGTATCCAATAAACGTCAAAACGGCTGAACCGATCGGGCCCAAATTTTTTGTGGGACATCTAGGGACTCCAGGGAAGGTTTATGAATCATCAAAATTTCAAATATTTGTCTCCATCAAAATTCGATCGTCATTAAATTTTTTAAAATTTTGAAAATCCGCGAAATTTTTTGTGAAAATCCTCGAATTATTTTTGTTTTGTTTTACGATGTACACAAAGAGAACATGTTCACAATTAATTTAGGAGATGGGCGCGAAGCGCCCTCTAAGGCTAGAAAGAAGGGCGCGAAGCGCCTTGAATTTCTAGTTCTGTAAATATGAAAAGTAAATTAAGTGAAAATATTTCTCATATTTGAGAATCAATCAAGTTTTGTTGAGCGACAGACAGTAAAAATCAATTGTTTTAGCATTAGGGACCGATATTACAGCTTAGTTTACTTAAGTTAATTGTTAAGATTCTGATACTTGCAACTAATGAGAGTTTAATGTATATTTAATTACTTCTGTACTCAACTTATATATCAGCATATAGTATATATTTTAAGTGTATAAATATAATTTCTAATTTTGAAATTTCAGATAAAATACCAGATTTCTGTTGTGCGCATTGCCGTAAACTGCAAAAATATGCGCGGATAATTTGCTGAGTAAAATCTACTACCATTATTTAACGTTTACTCAGAAATAACGCCACACCGGGAGCTACAATTGGCATTTGCAGAGGTCCGTACCCCTCAAGAGCAGAAATGCAACTGTGATATAATATTTTTTTTAAACTGCTCGTTATAGCTATAATTTTATCATATATTGTATTGTACATTTTTTTCTTGTTAACCTTAGACATTTTAGCTTGAATTTTATAATATCTTTTGCTTACATAGAATATTGTTTATATTTTTTTATCAAATCTAGCTACTTTTATTTTTGTTTGCTAGCTCATTACAAAATACACTCAAGAATTAACCTATTTTACCTAATGATCACTTTATTATCTTTAAAAATTTTGTAAATTGATCAATTACCATAAAAAAAACAAGTAAGGATAACCACCTCATCAATGACCCCTCGCCCCTCATTTATGGCCTAGTCTCTTTATTTACTTTTCTTGTTTGTTTGTAATCAATAACGTAAAAACGACTAAACCTGATTATGACCACACAAAAAAAAAACTTTAAATTGATTATAAAAAAACGTTACTATACAGTTAATCTATGAAGAATATATAATTTGTTTAATTATGAATTGTAATTAATAATTAAGCTGTCGTCTCATGCATTAAAATATATGATATAACTCAATTAAATTAGATACTGGGGTATATCTGGATAAGTCTTCATGCTTTGTTATTAATTTTAGTTCAAATATTTTTTTAACTTTGTATTGAAGGAGCATATATTCATTCAAAAAGTGTTTAGCCGATTTTTGAAATTATACTTTCTCATTCTTATTATCTTATATTTAAGAAATTAAGGGATGTAGACGCAATCTAACCTATTGTCACAATAAAATGATAAAGAATTTCTTTTTTCTAAAAAAATAGAAAATTTTAAATTGCAGGTTCTTTTTAAATGCAACCTGCGGATTTATGCAGAAGAGACAAGTAAGGAAATTAACAGCACTTATCGTATGTATATCGTTGTAAATAAGACTGCATGTAACTCTGTAATGCCTTGGCATTTTCCTCACTATCTCATAAATATTTTTTGTATCACTATAAACCATGACAATTTAGATCTTTTCAGCACTTGTTTTTAGCTTCACTTTTAAGGAAGTAATTGGCAAAAATCTCATTGATTTTTGCATGACAGTGAGCAACATTTGGATTTCTGTGTGGAGTATCAATATTTACGGCGAAAGTCATTGTGTAGGTAGGCTGTAAGGACCAAAAACGGTTGAATTAAGTTAGTAGAAAGCAACAAGAATGGGTTCACACCCTTTGCCAATGGTAGATGTCAAAGTCTACTACAGTCAACAAGAATGGGTCTACACCCTTTGCTAATCGTAGATGTCAAAATCTACTACAGTCAACAAGAATGGGTTTACACCCTTTGCAAATGGTAGATGTCAAAGTCGGCTACAGTCAACAAGAATGGGTTCACACCCTTTGCAAATGGTAGATGTCAAAGTCTGCTACAGTCAACAATAATGGGTTCACACCCTTTGCTAATGGTAGATGTCAAAGTCAACTACAGTCAACGAGTGTGGGTTCACACCCTTTGCTAATGATGAATGTCAAAGTCTACTAAAGTCAACGAGTATGGGTTCACACCCTTTGCTAATGGTAGATGTCAAGTCTACTACTGCAGTCAACGAGAATAATATCTACTTTTGCTGAATCAATATGTATTTATAAGTTCAATGAATGCATTCCTGAAAATGTTTTGATTATTTGAGTGCTGACTAGTTATCTACTTGTAAATGCACAATGAACGTATATTCAGTTGAGATTTCAATATGTATACTTTGTTTCAACAAAAACTATCAAACAAAATTATCAAACATTATATTTTGAATTAGCTCATAATAAAGTTTCTTATGTGTTTTATTTTAAGCTGAACCATCATGCATTATTATTTTGTATTTTGCGTTTGAAAATAAATACTATAACTATAAAACAAATAAATATGGAAAAGCACTATTTTTTAAAATTAATTATCCACATTTTAAATATCTATTATGTTTTTAGTGGGCACTGTTAAGTGTAAAGCTAGTTACTGGCTATAATCAATATATATTTAAACATGTTTTAGAGGACACTGTAAAGTGTAAAGTGTACAAGTAGTAGAAAGCTATGATCAATATACATAATTTAGAGGAAACTGTAAAGTGTACAGCTCGTAGTAAGCTATAACTGATATGCATATTTTAGAGGACCCAGTAAAGAGAACAGCATGTGACAACTTGTTTATAAATTTTAGAGGACACTTTAAAGTGTATTAAAATAAACATCCTTTGTTATATGACCGATGTCATACTTTGCTTTTCTGGGTGTCTGTCCATTTGTATCCAAAAAGCGTCAAAACAGCTAAACCGATCAGAGCCAAATTTTGTGTGGGACCTCACAAGATCCCACCAAGGAAGGTTTAGGGATGCATAGAATTACAAAAATTTGTCTCCGAGAATTTTTGAGTTTCGTAAAATTTAAAAAATCGACTAAAACTAAATCCACAACATTTTTAGTCTTGTTTCAGCAAGGAGAAGTGTTGAAAGATTGAGCAACAATTAAAAGTCGAAATAGAAGCAGGGTCTAGAAGCGCCCTGATAGCCTAGTGTTATAAATTTTGACAGAATTGGATGAAAAGGCATAATCTTGAAGCAGAACCAGATGAACGCGGTTGCAGGGTTAAATACTTCTACCCCCCTCAAGAGCAGAAATGCAACTGTGATATAATATTTTTTTTAAACTGCTCGTTATAGCTATCATTTTATCATATATTGTATTGTACATTTTTTTCAACCAAACAATTACGCAAATCATCAATTACTGGCTAGAATATAAAAAAGCGAACTTGTCAAAAACTATGAAAGGACTTGTTGATATATGAAATAAAAAAACCTGTATTTAATCATCTGTAAAAATATTGAAATATGTTGTAATATAATTATTAAAAACCGTGGTTTAGCTTTGTTTCTTGTTTCTCATTGTCTAATTAAATTATATCTTCTACAATAATAGATTTGAAAGGGAAGCTTTATTTGCAGCAGACACTTTTTTACCAATAGTTTAAAAATATTAAATCAAAGATGTTTAAATTTATTATCAGGAATACAATTTACAACTTTTTAAAATAAAAGAACTAATTTAAAATTTACAGAAAATAATTGTAAATATGTAAAGAACTCAAATTCTAGGTTTATGCTTAGTTAAAGTCCTGACTGATTTGTATGAAAAGACTCTCCCAGGTTGATCCAGCTCCATAGAAAACAGGTGGATATCCAAGTGATGCAGGAATATCAATCACTACTCCCTCCGAGTACTCTTCCAGGCTCCAGAGATGAATCCAGGAGTTCCCCAAGGGGAGATATACGGTCCATACTTCTACTCCTGGATCCAGGACAGGACTTACAAGCAGATCATCTCCGTACATATACTCATACTCCTGCAATATTGCATCTGTAAAACATAATCCTATCATTTAAACCAGAGCTAGGCAGGTTCATTGCCAAATGTCCAATTGTCGTTATCAATCACATTTTGATCTGTCTCCTAAAATAAATTTAAAAATCATTACTTCTTTAAGACAAATAAAAGAATATATCTCCCTTTCTTTCCAATTTGCTTTAATCATATTGTCAATCTAATGTTTGTGTTAGAATACAAATGTTTATGTCCCTTGGAAAAGTGCCTTGTGTTGTTAAGTATGCCGAAAGTACCAAATTCAAAGGGACTGTAGCTGTAATTTCAAGTGACTCTGACATGCTCATTGCTCGATTCACAACGGTACCTTTTAAACCTTTCTCACATCAATTATGTAGAAGATATCTTCGTCTTAAAAATTATTTTATTCATTTTTGATGAAATAAAGTTTTTAATGGAACCTTTGTGAATCAAACATTGCCAGGGATTTCGGAAAATGTGATTAAAGGGAGGTATTTTCTATATTCACGAAACCTCTCACTGCCATTTCGTGAGGTTTTCTAAATCAGTGATACCTGTAAATATGTCTCTGGGTCGTCTGGGAACTGAAGAAAAAGAGGACGCATGACTGGAATAGATTCCTCAGAGTTTTGTCTAACAGCTTCCCTTTATTATAATAATGTTATTTTAAAACTATTTGTAGTGTATTTTTTTGTGAGTAATCAATCCGATGTTTATGCAGTTGACATTTTTTGGATAATTTCGTTTTTACATAGTTACAAATCTTTTTATGAAAAGGATTTAAACACTATAAATTTCTAATCTCTATAACCTTTTACCTGATGATGCAAACCTTTGGTATTTCAAAATTTAAAATATGCTAGATCAAATAGTCCAGGTTTGAACTATCAAAGGTTTACACCATTAGGTTGCAAAGATATAGGGATTTTAAGAGTTTGTGGCGAGTGTGTAGCTCATTACTAAAACAAAAGAGGCCATTTTTCTATCTGTAGTATCTTTGTCAACTTGAGTTACATTTTCAAACAATTTATTAATTTTTATGATGATATAGCTACACAATACCTGGTGTAGTTAGCTAGAGCTACGTATATCTTGGTTAGACGGGCAAACTGTTGCATTGTATTCTCATCACTGTAAATCTTTATAAACAGGTCAAAATAGTTTTTAAATCTTAAAAAAATACGATAAAATTTTTGGTAGAATTGTTATTTTTTAATGCTATTTTGCTTGTATTCCTGGTGGTTAGCTTCCGGTACATTTCCCTCATGTGTGCGCATAACTGGAGTAAATGCCGCGTATTCTGCCCATCGGAGGAGTAGTTCTTTAGATCTAGTTAAATTTAGTTGGGGAATTGTGGTATAGCCTCCAATATCACTGTGTGAAAGACCCATACCAGACATAGATAAGGAGAGTGCTGCTATAATAGAAGATCCCAGTCCGTCCGATTGTGTCCAGTCCACAGTTTGATCTCCAGCCCAACTCATAACCTACAATTAAACATAAACAATTTTACCTTGTGTTTAGAATCAAAGAAATAGTGCTTGACTCAGTTTTACCTGACTTGACTTTGACCCGATCCCTCCAGATCTCATCCAATACATGATATCTCCAAGTTTGCCTGACTCCTCCACAACCTCCCGGTTTAATGCCGCCCACTCCTCAGAGAAGATTTGATGAAGAACTTCTCCATGTTGATCTCCCCACCACCGATCCGCAAATGATGATCTGGCCGAGGTTGGGGTATATTCACCGAAATCCGCCATCCAGCCTGCAAAGCCAAAATTTACCAAGTTCTTCTTCATCAAGTCTTTATACCAACCCCTCCCAACATTGATGCAATTACAGTCTGGACTAGGTCTGATGATATCTACTGTACCAATAGTAAACTGTCCAAAGTCTTGAAGTAATCTCTCTCCATTTTCTTCTGTCAGCCAGTAATTGTTTTGACTACAATTCTGATAAACCTCACCATCTATGTTCAAATGAGCAGTTATGTAAGCAGTCACCTTGTGTCAATAATAAAATAATTTATGGTTAAATGAGTTTGGTATACAGTTTTTTTTAAGAATGGGTTAAAATTTTCTATTTATGACATGCCTTAATGTTTCTTTTATCTAAATCCTTGATAAGTTCATCAAGAACTGGATACCAGGTTGAGTTCCATTCCCAGTTCCAGAAAACTCGTGTTCCAAACTCCGTTGTGATCTTCCCAGACCAGTCCTGGATCCATAGTCCAGCTACCTCAACACCTTGAGACTGAGCTTCATCAAGATAATTGAGCATTTTATCTGTTCCCCCTAAAACCAACAAAGCAAAGACAATCAGTGGTTAGCTTTCAGTCTTCAAATTATGTCCATAAAAAGGGACCAACCCTTTATTTATCCTGTGGATTCTTTAATAATCCAGAACTTTTAAAAATTAATGAAATTTCCATTAACTAAACAAAGAAATATTAGTAAATAAAGACGTAAAATTAAAAAGAATGAACAGATACCTCCTGAAAAAGGTTCGTATTGTTTTTTTTCATGCATGGCCTAAAAAGCTAATTTTGGAACCTATATGAAATGAAAAATGGGTCTGCAGCTAGCAACATTCTGAGAGTAAAAAGGGATTCGATTGTCATCTGTCCTTGAACTCCCAGGATAGCTCCATTATAAACCCAGTCTGGTAGAGGGGGCTGTCCAGGATTTAAGGCTTGAACTATCTCCATTAAACTTGGCTTCACCAGGAATGTCAGATGGCAGCTTTGGCACGCGGACCCTTCTTCCTCTGTAGGTATGTTTATATGCCAGTAAACAACATGACGGTCGGATTGAGTAAAGTCAAGTTCATGGTAGGTTGAGTAGGAGGACTCAAAGTAAAATTTCCTTGGACAGAATTGAATGAATTGCGTTAAGTTGTTGAACTACACAAAGACGGATTAACCACGAATATCTTAAGACTGGTTGAACTTTAAGTTTTTAAATTTTGAACTGTTATAGCATGAGTTCAGCCAATAGATTGTCGAACCTGATATTTGTGGCAGTTTGATTGGCCTGCAAAGTTTTCTACATCTACAGCTGACATCTAGGTAATTCATTAAATTCGGTCCCTGGATGAAATAAATGATGGTTGGGGCCAGTAGGTTGTGTGGTAATCTCCTCCGGCATTACTGTTGGCATCCATTATCTGGGTTAAAGAGGAAGATTTATTACGTCCAACTCCTTGTTCTCTCACCCAGATAGGATACACTCGTCCTCTGCAGACCATCAAGAACAGCTAATGCTAAATTTGTTTAACCCTGTCTCTGTTGTACTACTTTTGTCATATAAAGGTTGAGGGGTTAGGGTGTGTGATGGTTGACCCCCCCCCCATGTTAAACTAACTACTACGAAGTGCATCCTGCCTGTATCAGAATATTTTTTGTCATTAATTGAGACTCTTTTTACCAGGACCTCTAGTTTACTGTGCCCCTCTGATTTTCCCATTTAATACAAGTTGGGGAGTGTAATGCATGTCAATTATCCAACTTGTCAAGTTCTAATCATTTTTAACAGTTTTGAAAACCATAATAGGTAAGGTGCTGGGAAGGTTTTAAAATCCTTAAAAAAGTATGTCGAAAAATAACAAAAATTAAAACTTTTATGTTCGACAAATATTTCATACTATGAAAAGCTCTAAGCGTATGACTAATGGAGCTGATATAAAAAAGCTGAAAACTGAAATTGGAAATATTTGAATATTGTTCTGCATTCCTGAGATTAAGATAAGAAAACTGTTCCCCTCCCCCATAGATGAACTCGAATGGATCTGCCACCAACTCCAACCAGATCCTGTTAAACCCCTCCAACTCAACCCTGCACCACACCCAGAGCAAACTTATTACAAAGGATGAGACGTTAATTAACATCTTAAAATCAACCATAAATTTAACAATTTGTAAACAAATTGTGTAGCTTCATGTAGCTTCATAAAATAAATCTCAGTGAACTAGATTGGTTTGATCGACAAAAAAGAAACAATTTTACAAAATGTGAGAAAAAATACTTAAAACTCGTCGTCTCTGAAGTTTCATCCTTTTAGATTCTATTACGAACGTTGAAATCTGGAGATTTCTGACAAGAATGATTATTTTGCCTTAAATCTATATATATACTTTGCTTTTCTGTTTGTCTGTTTGTATCAAAAAAAAATTCAAAAACGACTAAACCGATCTGGCCAACAGTTTTTGTGGGACCTCGCGAGACCCCAGGGAAGGTTTATGAATGATCGAATTTACAAAAATTTGCCTCTAACAAAATTCGATTTTTGAAAATTTTGAAAATCCACGAAAATGTTTTAATATTTTTTTGTTTTTGTTTTACAATGTATTCAAAGAGAATATGTTCACAATTGAAATAGAAGATGGGCGCGAGGCGCTCTAAAAGCCTAGTCTTTATATATACTTTGCTTGTCTGTCTGTTTGTTTGTCTGTCCGTTTGTATCCAATAAACGTCAAAACGGCTGAACCGATCGGGCCCAAATTTCGTGTGGGACGTCACGTGACCTCAGGGAGGGGAGGAAGGCAAGCCGCAACAATTTCTAGTCTGAGCCACATTTGACATTCTCCTCATTTTCTCGTTCGAGCCACCTCTAAATCCTCGTCCTTCCAATATTATTTTTTAAAAGTGTCTTATAGTCCTCGAAAATAAACAATTTTTGAAGAATCGGGCCACATTAGGGCATAAATGAAATATTGAATTTTAGTAAATCGAAAAAAAAGTTTCAATTGAATTAAAGTTCTATGTGCTTAAAAATGTTCACCTTTTCAGATATTCTTCGTGGAGAATGCCGCAAATAATTCCGAGATTATAGAACTTTAATTTGTTTTTCTCAATTATAGTATAAACAATAGATTTTTTCCGGGTGGTTCCATGGGGAAAATTATGGGCATAGGTATGCCAAATATTTTGCTATTTATTTCATATCACGAAGGTAGGCCATTACGGAGGCAGAAGAGTTTTAAGTTTTACCTAAATAAAATTTGACATCGTTCTCATGTCTCTAAAGATTCAAACATAATTTAATCATTGCAATACTTTAGTCTATCCATATTTTATGCCCTAACGTGGCCAGATTTGTCAAAAATAGTTTCATCTTCAAGAATTAGAAAATTTTCAATACATAATAAACGAAGGACAAGGATTTCGAGGTGGTTCGGACGAGAAAATTAGGAGAATGGGGCTCGGATGAGAAGTTGTTGTGGCTGGCCTTCCTCCCCTTCCTCAGGTAAAGTTTATAAATGATTAAAATTTCACAAATTTGCGTTTTTATTTTTGTAAAATTTTGAAAAAAATAATATGAAATCCGCAAACTTTTTTGTTTTTGATTTGTTTTATACTGTACAAAGAGAAGATGCTCACAGATAAAGCCACAATTAAAAGTTGAAATAGAAGATGGGCGCGAAGCGTCCTAGAGGCCTTGTAATATTAATTTCCTTGAACCTTTTCATGAAAGGGTTTAAAAAAGAAAGTCATTCATGATATGAATTCATTATTTATACACAAAGTGAAAGTGGATGTTAGCATATTTGAGAGGAAAATACCCAATTTTACAGTTGGATCCATAAAATTGTGGAATATAATAGGAAGACGACATTTAAATAATGTTCTGTGTTTTTTATGTGATAACAAATCAAAGCTTGAGGATCAATTTATAAAGTGAAATAGATCTTTTGTACACTGCACACTGCACATTCCATGTTCATTGGACAATTCAAAATTATAACATGAGTCTTCCTATTCAACAGTTGTATGGGTCCCACTGTTGTAGAGTGGCATGAAGCCTCCTGCCACTGGAGTCTGGTTTTCAAAATTTACTCTCCTATACTCCGGGGGGAACTCAAGCTTAACCTCGTACAATCCCTTCTCCTCATCCTCAAACACCACCAGGTTCACACCGATGTTCACCTCGCTGTTGAAGAAGGCGAATGTGTTACCTAACTCCCCTAACCATTGGAACTTTTAGCATGAACTTTAAACGCAGATTTAATCAGAAAAAAATAGTGGTAGAGTAAAAGATGTTTAAGAATGGAATCGCTACGTAAGCACTTGTTCTTAAAAACCCTAAACATGAAAACTGCATTTTTTCCCTGCAGGGTTACCCACAAAGGATGACCTTTAATGCGACCTAAAACTCATTGAATATGATAATATTAAAATAAAGCTTTTTTGTTTCTCGTTACGTTAATCGTTTTTATGGAAAAAAACAATCGTTTTTGAAAACGAACTACTAGTTTTGAACTTTCAAAAAACTATCGTTATTTTATATCGTTATACGATTGATTTTTTCAAACAAAAACGGTAGATTTTGTAAAAGATTGTTTTAAAAAAAATTAGCCAATGAATCTGAGTTTTATGACAATTTATTATCATTTTTTGTCAGAATGATAATGTTGTCTTATTTTTATTTAAAACAAAAAACTATCGTTTTCCAGCAATAACGTTTTTTTAAAAAAACGATATTTTTAAAAAGACTATTGTTATTAAAAACTATCGTTTCGTTTTTCGTTTTTTCTTTGTCGTTTTAAAAATAAAACGATTGTTTTTTTTTAAAAAGTGAAAACGGACCCCAACTTACATGTAGTCTTTTTTATGGTATACTGAAGAAAGAGGCAAGTTTACGGCCCCAGGGAAAATAAATGTGGGTTAATTTGATAATTTCTTTACAGTCGTCTCTGTAGTCTCATACTGTTTGTGTAACCCTGTATTTTAAAACAAATTTAACAATACCCCAATTTTTTAAATCAGAAAATAACTAAGCCTTACTTAGCTACCAATCAAAGATGTTCTTTTCGCCAGAATTATCGATTTTTTTTTCTTCAAAAAAGCAGCTGTCATCAGTAGAAATTATTTGATTTTATGTAATATGGTTTTTTTCTTGTACAATAATGTACATCAAACCAAGGAGATATTGAATAGAAGGAGGGGGCATTAGGGTTTCCGTACACTTTGCTGTGACGTTTTTGGATTGCTGAAGAACTAGTTTTTGCGTAACAACAATAACAAAGGCAGCCGATCTAATGTAAACAAACATGCGTTAGTAAACTGTAAAAGTAATATTATTTTGTTAAAAAAGATTAGGAAAAAGTTAAGGATTTTAGTATTATACGAAAATGACCTTATTTAAGCGACATTTTCAATCAAATCCAAGGTTATCCTGCCCCCACCTTTTATAAATACGCCAGAGATGCCGGATGTCTGTTTATCATTGTGATATTGTTTACAATCTTTATGATTTTTTTTAACGCAAAAACTAGTTATTCAGCAGTCCAAAAAAGTCACAGCAAAGTGTACGGAAACCCTATATCGCCCCCTCCTTCTCTTCAATATCTCCTTGCATAAAACAGTGTATACTTTGACTGAGTTTGAGTACAATGGTTTCCTGAAATAATATTGTACTCTGTAAGATCAACAACTTGCAGAACAGTATCATTGATCTCAAAGTTTCCAAGATGATCTTTAGCTACAAACTCTCCTTTTCCAAGCCTAAAATGATAATGATATGATATTAATAAAAACAATAATTATCAATAATAAAACAAGACATTCATATATGTTTCAAATGTTTTCAGTTAGTTGTCTGTATTATAAAACAAGACATTCATATATATTTTGTCTAAAGCCGGCCAAACGGTTGGACCAATTGGGCTGAATTTAGTTGTGGACACTCACGGGTGGCCGGTGGGTGTAATAACCTAAATAAATAATTTAAAATTTGTTTGCCACGGGCAACACCGGGCCCGTCAGCTACTTATTATTAATAGCATTAATGATAAAAATATATATAATATATAAGAGAAGCTTTGTAACAAGGCTATCAGGGCACTTCGTTCCCATATTCTATTTCAATTTTTTATTGTCGCTCAATCTGAATTTCAGCCTTTCTCTTCGATAAAAAAATTATAAAAAATTTTACGGATTGTCATTTTTTTATAGATATAAAATTTTTTAAGAAGATCAAAAATTTTTGGAGACAATTTTTTGTTTATTTGAGCATCCATAAACCTTTCCCCATCATACGAGGTCCCACACAAATCGGTTCAGACGTTTTGACGTTTTTAAGTTACAAACAAACAAACAGACAAGCTAAGTGTATATGAACAGATCAGTGTATTCCTAACAGCTGTATAACGGTTGAATATATTCCTGACAGCTGTATAACAGATGAATATATTTTTTAAAGCTGTATAACAGATAAATATATTCCAGACAGCTGTATAACTGATAAATATATCCCTGACAGCTGTTTAACAGATAAATATATTCCTGACAGCTGTAGAACAGATGATAATATTATTGACAGCTGTATAACTTATGAATAAATTCTTGACAGCTGTATAACTAACGATTGTTCCTCACCTCTGAGTTTTCATAACGGCTGTATAACAGATCAGTAAGCCTAACCGTTGATCTGACAGATGAGCATATTCCTGAGAGATAAGAATACCTGATAGCTGACCTTCCAGATAAGTATACCTGACAGCTGGTCTATCTGCTGTATGACAGATGAGGATGGTATCCAAGTATGAAAGTTGAAAATCACATTCTTCTGAGCTTAAAAACTCCCCCCTCACCTCATTTAATCCTCCTGTAGCAAGAACACAAGATAAATAAAAAGTTTTAAATTCAAATGCCTTGGCTAAGACAGGCTTGGAGGCTGAGCGCTGCCGCTATAGGGAGTTGTCTTCATCTATAGTCCCAACACGATTGTCCCATCCATGTTTTTTTTCGTTTGTTCTGTCTTTCCTTTTGATATGTCCTACGTGTGTTCTGTATTGAGTTTGTTCTGTCCTACGGAAGCCCTGCCTTAAGTTTGTTCTGTCTTACGCTTGTCAGTCCTACGTTTGTCCTAGTAATAAGAGTTCTTATTCTGCGCGCGCATTGGTTAAAGTTGATCTTTAGAGATAGTTGAACTATAAGCAGAGCTAGTTCGACGTTTTTATATGCCTAATAAAACCCTCGCTTTTAAAATGGGCTTTATGTATAGATGCTCAGGGAAATACCCACTTTAATGACGACCTTAAACTACAAAAGTGTTATGATCTTTTGTGTGTTCCCTAAGAGAAGAAGGACAAAGAAGAACATGTTTACTCCGACTCTTGCTCTTCTACTGATACAGCTCTAGAGTAGACCCTGATAAGACGAGGATTAATCCCAGATCAAACTTAGGAAAAATGCAAGAATTATCTTTTTTTAAGAGACTGTAAGCGCAACTTTAAGTGACCCTCCATTCAAAGACATAAATGCCCGATTTAAATGGTACCCTTGAAACCTTACTCCGATCAAAAATGTGGAAGCATACGCAGTTCTTTTTAGTGAATTTCTCGATTGTTTCTTAAAAGCCAGAAATCCGCAATTCACTATTCCAAAGAAACTACAAATGAAAATAAACAGTTTTAATAAACAAAAAACGTACATATCTAATTCATACTTGATAAGCCAAAGCTTTTAAAAATACCATTGTAAATCTGGCATTCTCATCTTTGCATAAAAGACACTTGAAATTAAGCTTACAATGCCAATTCCGTAACCTAGGTCAATTTCCTTGCAAACACTTAATCGAGGGGGAGAAGGCAGAGAGACCATAAAATTGTTTAAAGGTATAATCACAATGCCCGATTCACAACAGTACCCTTGAAACCCTTATCTGATCAATTATGTGTCATTGTCGTCTTCTAGGTTAAAAGTGCTTCATTTTGATAATACCGATATGTCTTTCTTTAGTATAATTTAATTTAAGTAAAAAACCTCAGCAGAAAATAATCGTTTTCAAAATCATAAATTCTTACTTAATCCGAAAAAGGTTTAAAGTGTCCCTTTGTGAATAGGGCATTTGCCATATTTGCATAGACGGTCACAAAATGAAATTAGTAGAATATCAGTGTTTAAAATTCGAAAACTAACTATTTTCATTTGTTTTTTTTCTACATAATTGGGACTTGCGCATTTGTACTGCAGGAAAACATACTGGAATTATCAGAATTCAACACTTTTAAACCTAAAGTAAAGCTCAGATAGGGTTCCAGGATACCGTTGGGGTCTGTCCTAGTTACGCTTACAATCCCTTTAACAAAATAATATAGAAATTTCCATTATTTTCGTTTTAAATATTTATTATTCCAAATATAGAGTTTTTATTAAAAACATCACGATAAAACATTATTTTTACTTTTCATAGATTTACAGGTAACACAGGGACTCAGCAATACAACATGTACACATGTACTTGGTAAATTCAAATACATGTTCTTTGTACACTCAAATATGAAATACATAAAAATACTGATATTCCTTCCATTCACGGTTAGGGGTACATTTAGTCTTAGCTTTCTTTTTAACATCATGGCAAGGTTTAATTCTAAATAATTATCTTTGAAAGATAAGCTTAGTCCAATTACAGGAAAAACAGGCAAAAGTTTAATAAAAAATGGATTCTTAAATATTATTTTCAAGTATGAACACGTATTTCGATGTAACTTCTACAGAATGATCCTTAAAACTGTGGAAGAGAAAAAAGACATTTACGCAATCTTTTATGTAGTTAATGTTCTCACCACGCTAGTAGTTTTACTTGTAGCTTAAAAATCAATTTTTTAAGTAAAATGGGTCTGAGTACAATGTACATTGCAACTTAAGTCTAACTATCGCCTTTCTGTTCCAGTTTTGTGTAGCCCATATTGTTTAAGAGGAATAGGATAACGTTCCAGGGGTGTGAATATTTTCAGAAAAATTACTTTCCTCCCCAAAAGTTATGTTTTCACGGAGCGTCACATTTTTTTAGGGAAAATTAAATTTTCTTTAAGGGAAAATAAATTAATTTTTGTGTCAGAAGTATCAAAAAGAATGAAACAAAACTAGCCTTAAATCTCCAATTATTCATCCCCCCCCCCTAAAAATCAAAAATCATTTCCCTCTCTTCAAGGGGGGGGGGGGTAATTCTGAAAAATATACACCCCTGCAACGGTAACCACTACATTAAATGTTTTCAAAGTTTAAAATAATTCCGTGAAAACATGAAACGAGTTGGAAACTTTTTATCATCAATAATTTCATGATATATATAGAAATAAGGATGAGAAAAAAAACATAACAAATTTGGAGAAAACTTTTAAATATTTCTTTCTTTAACAAATCATTTGTGATTAATTAAAAAATTAATATCAGCTTTATTTTCATCCCTTTTAAAGAAGAAAATAAAGCTTAAAAACATCTAATTTGCGGAAGGTTTGGCAAGTTTTGACACATAGTTAAAAAAGAATGTCATTTTGTTGACGCTCAATTAATGTTACATTTGTGCTCGCATATTGATATAATTGTGAACTTTATAACTTATTAATCACATATTTAGACTTTTTGGACACTATTGTCATATTTTGATTCGTTGAGCTCCATGAATGAGACCACTAATGTAAAAAATTAGGATAAATGCTTTTATCCCTTCTAAAAATAATACACTGAAGATGATCTTTACGAAAATAAGATTGTTTAGGAACAATTTAATTGTAGATTTTTAGTTGGAAGTATTTTCAAGAAAGAAAATTTAGTTAAGTAAGTTTTAAACGAAAAGGCCAAAATCTTACGATAAAAATTTACGGACAATCAAATTTAATGGTCGTATTACGATAATCTTGATGTCAGTTTATAAAATTTGTCATCAATGAACTATAACATAGCATATTATTTTTTTTTTTAAAGACCTTGTGATAATTGCCACAAATACCACCCAAGAATACAACACCAGTCATTTTTACCAAAAAAAATATATATACATGCAGTAAGTACCCATCCTTATGTACAATTAACCCAAGCACTTATTAAAATTTGTACATATTTGTACAACAAGCTGAAAGCAAAGAAGCATATTTGCTTCATCGTTTAAAAACTAAGACTCCACAATGTTAATTAAAAATTAGAAGTTTTGAACGCTTGAATTTGAGACACCGGACTTTTAAAATATCGGGAAAACGACGAATTTATAAAATAAAAAGAAAAGCGATATTAAACCATTTCTTCAAGCGCAAAATTGTGTAATAAAGAATGCGATTTGTCCATTAAAAAAAGGGCCAGTTTGCGTGGTCATAAGTGACAATTGCGATTTTTAATTCATGTTTAGTAGAAGTAATAAATTGTTTACTTTTTAAAATATCGATTTAAAACTTACTTCGTTTAAAGTTCTGAATATTGTTTGTATTTTTTTTTCGAAGAATAATGACTAAAAACATTTACAGTCACTATAAAACAAGTTTTATTTCAGTTACACTTGGTTATTTTTAACACTATTAATTTAAATTTTATAATTAATAGTTTATATTTGAACACTTGCTAAAACGTATTTAGCATAGCTTCAATTTATTCTGTGAACCGTATTTAATCCTCTTTAATCAAGACTGTTAATCGAGATATTAATATTGAGACTGATAGATAGATTGATATGCATTCTAGTTCACATTAGTTCGAAGTTATATATCACTTGAACGTTGATGACCGTTAGGTCGACGGTCAGGCCAGGCTCCCCCACCGGGCAAACTAGCGCGCTGGTCATCTATTCTACCGCCCTGAAATAAAACCCTGGTTTAAATTAATTTTCTTACATGAGTTTTAAAACCAACCGTAATGAATGAAAAATCAACAACAAAAAATTATTTTGAACAAAAATCCTTTACGAAACTTTAAATGCATGAAAAAATGTTTTAACAAGTTTATGTCTCACTCTTGGGACAATAAACGTCGTAATAAAACTATATTTATATCATTTATCTAATAATAAAGAAACTACGGATAAAGATATCAGATATAAATAGAATTAATTGTAAAACAGCAAACAAGAACCTACAAATGGATTTCTGAAAAATGAAAATACATCGTGCATTGTTTTTTTCTAACATTTTGACTTTAAGAGGCTCAAACTTAGAAAGATATTGTATGCAATAAAGTCTTGCCCATTCATAAAACATTAAGACCAAAATATAAAATGAAAACGATTGACTAAATCGTTACCATTAATAACATATTTTGTTAAGAGTAAAAATTTATCACAATGCAATAAAAATTTTTTTTTTTAAATATGATTAACAGTAAACACTTAAGGTCCTTGTAAAGTAAAGCATTAAACACTTCAGGTCCTTGTAAAGTAAAACAGTAAACACTTCAGGTCCTTGTAAAGCCCCTTAAAAGTAAAAAAACTTGAATGTTCTGTAGTGACATTCATCCAAATCGAAACATGAATAAATTTAGGCTTAGTTCGTTTACATTCCACCCAAACACTGCAGTACACTTTTGATGCAATCAAAGCGTTCTCTAAAAATACAGTGAAGCCCATAAAACTTTGGAATATGAAGATGACATTCAAGCAATCTTAAATTGTATAATTATAAAGCAAAAGAAGCGGTAGTTTAAAAATCAACTTATTAAGTGAAATGGGTCTGTGTACGCTGCACAATTGATTTGTTCTGTATAAATTGAACTATAACTGAAGTCTAACAGTAGTCTTCCTAATTAACATTCTTTTGGGTCTCACTATAAGATATAAAATTGCTATTACCGCCAATAAAAGTTCTTAAAATTCTAATGACCGATATTTCAAGAAGATCAGGAAGTAAAAAGATGAGCTTTCAACTAACCTGGATTTTGCAGATAAGAGAGAAGAAATCCTCATCAGGGATTGTTGGAGCAGAAACTGTTTCTTCTCCTGGTAGACTCGATCTCTGATCCTCGATCCTAGTTCCTTGCATCTTCATCAGCTGCTCGAAGAATGAATCGTCCGGCAAACTATCCTTGTCCGTGGCAGCGACCGACAAGCGCTGTAGTATCTCCGGCTGCTTGGCGCGCGTAATACCTGGAAGAACGGCCCAAGGTGCTCTCTGCTCATTGAGTCTGTTAGACTGTGCTCCAGCGATCAATTCTAGAGAAAAAGGGACTTAAATCGTAGTTTCAACTGACAATAAGTTGCAAGCCTGATTCACTAGGTTGTATCTAAAAATTATGAGAAAGATATCATATATGATTATGAAGTATTTAAAAATAAAGGTAAATAAAAATTAGATGTGAATTGTATCTGTTTTGAACTCACCAACGGTTTCCTCTTTCTGTTTTGGTTTAACTCCGTTCTGTTTAGCCTGACCAGGAGCAGATTCAGGATCACAGGGTTCAGCTAGAGAACATCGTTGGTCGTCCATACGTTTACTCTGGAACCTAGGAAGACAATATTTATGTATAATAACCAAGGAACTGATTGTCGTCTTTGTTCATTCCGTAAGTTTTAAAATTCTGACTAAAAGAAAATAATGAAGACGACTAGTATTCCACCATTTTCTGCAATTACAGAAAAATCTAAAACTTTGAATTAGTGATAACCAATTTTTGTAATGAAAAATGTTAAATTTTGAACTCAAAAAAGCGAAGACCTTTCTTCGACCCCTACCTCGTGATAAAATCAAAGAGGTCTTCTTCGTCATCCAGGAGGTCAGAGACGTTCCCGGACTGGTTTCCGAGGTCACCGCCCTCTGGGTCTCGAGATTTCGAGTCCGGGGTCATTTTTATCATCTCCATCCTCTCCATTGACTTACGTCTAGCTGTCTTCGGGGATAGTTCCACATCCTGGAGAATCAGTTCAATCAATAAATCAAACAATCAATCAACAAATCAATTAATGTACCAATCAGTCAATCAATTCAATCAATCCATAAAGTACTTTTTGTAATTCTTTTTTTAAACCTACCGAGAACCCCTCAACTAAGAAAGTTATGAAGATATATTTTTCAAAAATTAATAGGCCATGAAAAGCGGAAATTGTGATATGAACTTTTAAGGCCCATTAACAGGAGAGTGGAGCACACAAAAATAGTCCAACCGGGATAGGGTAAAATCATATTTCTAAAACTATATTCATTTTTAAAATTAAGGAAATTCAAGTTAATCAAAATAATACGAGTGACTGCTTCATATTCATTTTAAAAAACTATGAGGCTTTCTTTTAAGATAAATTTTTCGCATGATGCTAATAAAGCTCACTGCCAAATTTTACTCTCTCCTCGTACATTATTTACACGGAGAAAGTGAATTGTTGCTAAAATATTCATAAAATATCGAAATATATTTTCGTTATCTTTGAAGTTTAAGATGTTTCAAGAGATAGAACTTATTGCAGTTAAAAGCAAATAATTAAACCGACTATAGAGTAAATTCATTTCAAAGGACTGTTCAGCAAATTGATGAAAGAAGACAAGTACCATCAGCAATTCTTGACGGAAAAAATTGTTGCGATACTGAAAAAAAGATAAAATTTGATACATTTTAATTTAGTTTTTATTTTCATTTGAGCACTGAAAAGCTTCGCAGAATACAATTTATAAAATTTTGAGCCAAATAATTGGGAATTAACCAAACTAATCTTTCATGGCTGCGACGCTTGGCTCTCTTGGACTCTTTTAACCTGCATGTCCTAATTTGAGATATAGGGTTCACTATTTAAACTATATACAACAAAACAAAGTACAAATAAATTATCTTTATTAAGTTAGTTTAACAAAAGTTTAACGTATCTAAGTAAAACTTGTTTGAACTAAATTGAAAACGACGTTTAAAAAGATTGCAATTTACATTGCCAAAGTTCGAGCACGTATAATTAAATAATTATTCTACATATTTACTGGAAACTGAAAAAAAAACTGAACAACACTTTAAATCTGCTGTACAATGTGGAAGTGAAATACGTATCAGAAAGAGTCAAATTCTGACGATTTCCTCCTTTCACTGCAGCAGAAACGCGCTAGTCACTTGTAAAGAGAATCTACAGTTTCCAATCGGTAAATGGAGAATCTACGACTGCAGTCCCTTTAAACTGCACAGAAGTGCAGGGTATTTTAGAACTCTAAGAACGACAAAATTTTCCAGAAGAATAAAAATGTAATCTGAATATTTATGTTTAGATATTTAGCAAATAAAACTAGATCCACACAAAGAATTCTTTTTTTACAGTCGCAATTTTATTAAGCTCGCGAATAAATAAATCAATACTCATTTTAAGTACTATCTCTATTCTTCCAAAAATGTCATGTTTTTATAAAAAATTTCATTTCAACCATGGTTAAACCTTTTAAAGCTGATTAACTCGATATTTACTGACCAATTTTAACAATTTCTAACAATTTATCTTATTATTTCCAGCCCTCCAAACAAAAATAGAAAAATTGTATAGGTCAGAATTAAGACTTTAAAAATAATTTTTTTGTTAACTATTTTCCAACACATTTAAAATTTCCTAATAGTTTTCTATTTCTTTTAGTCTTTAAACTTGTTATTAACCAACATATTCAGAGTTTGGAACTTCAGTATAGAGTATCGTTTATCTTGAATTCTTGATCTCGATATCCAATGTGAGTAATTTTAAATTTGAGGAGAAATGCATGACGATCACTGGATCAAAGAGGAATTAAATAAATCCTGAAGTCTTAAGTTAATACTGAATCACAACACAAAAGTTCTGACTTCTGAGTAATGTCCTAATTTTTTTGTTCACGTTTTTTACCTTTCTTAACTGGGAACCTTCTGGGATGCCAAGAGTCTTTCCAAGTTCTCCAAGATTCACCTAAACAGTATATTCGTAATCGTAGAAAATTAACTCAATTCTAACTAATTCGTATTGACGTATACTATCAGCTGTGTACAGTATACGGTACATAAGAGATTGAGTTTTTATATCAGATGCGTATAGCACAGTAGATTTATCAATTGCAACAATTGCGATTTATTTTATTGATAGAACTGGAGACAATATTTCAAATAACCTTCCATTAATAGTGGCATGTCCGATTCACAACGGTGCCCATTTCTGATTAAAAATAAACAAAATATCACTCTTTAACTCTCGAAATTTCAGTGAAATTTAATTTAACAGAGACAATGCAGAAAATTGTCGGAATTTAATACGTTTTATAATAGAAAATCGACAATAACTTCCTCATTTTACTCAAATAGTGGTTTAAAGGCTACAATAGTGAATCGGACGAAAGGTCACTTAAAATTAAGTTCACAGGCCATTAAAAATTAATAACAAAGACGACAATAATTTAAAGTTTAATGGTTCTCAATATATACCTGTGCTGTAGCTTGACCAACCCTGTCCCCAGTTTCCTTGGCAATCTCAAGATGCCGCGTAGCGTATTCGTACGCTTTCTCAGAGTTCCCTATAGCACTGTGGGCGTTCCCCAGAGACCAGCAGGCTCGCCCTTCTCCAACCTGCACAAAACACACAGGGGTTAGTAACAATAAAAAATGGGTAAAATCTCAAGAAATACCGCCTGGACACCCCCCCTTTAACTAAACAAGAACTTCTGCAGCTACTATCCATCTATCTTTATCTAAATGGGAGACTTGACGTGATTAGCTGACAACATGTATTCCCATTCTGTGTTTCAAAAACTGACTATATTTAATAGGAAACAATAAAATTAGAACGCATACTTGAGGCACTTATGGGAAAGCACAGATATGCGACATACTTCTATCTTAGCAAGAAACGATGGAGAACTGATAATAAATAATTACATTATTTAATCTATATAGAGTAGTAATCTCTGTTTGTCTGTTAGTTTCAAATCAAATCAAATAATATATTTTCTAAGGTAATAATTATAACAGATCTTTAAAAAAGTTTGATTTTTTGTTTCTTCAATCATAACACTCAGGAACCCCTCTACCGATTTGTCTCGAACTTTGATTGGGGTCTATGGGACACTCTGTAGAACCGTGGTAATGTTTTTTAGCTTGGTTTTATAGTTCCAAGTTGAGTTGGTGGACTTTTTTACTAAACTTAGTTTCCAGGCAAAGCTGGGTTCCTAAACTAATAGGACATAACATTTTACAAAACGTTTTAAAATTAACTATGCCTTCCTTTCAACCCATTAGAAAATATAATAAGTTTCATCTTCAAACTGCCGAGATAATAAATGACAAGAACAAAAAATGGAGCCTAAACTTATAATTCAGGTTTTAGAAATTTTTAATGATTATTCATTCAAAAATTTATTTCAATTTGGATTTTATTTCAGCAAAATTCAATACAAGTATTTGAAGACTAGGGTAATATTTTCCTTTACAATTCTTAGAAATGTTGTTGACAAGCATGATGTTAAGCAAGATATCAATCCAATATCCATTCACAGTTAAAAATTAAAAAGTGACAATACTTAAAGAAAATTAATAAAAATTCCAAAGTAGAACTATTTGCAGAACTTGAAATAAATTTGAAACATTACACATAAGAAAACTTTCGGCTCGGGACAAAATTAAATACAAAATAATCAAATAATTCTTCCATCTTTTAAATGTTATGCTAGAAAAAAACTAATCCGGAAATTATATGCAGTTTTAAATAACAACAGTAAATATAAATTTCCAGAAAAGGGAAATAACACGAATTTAAATTTATATTTTTTGTTAATTTTAAGAAATTTTTCGAAGAAATTTCAAAAATTATTAAAACCTTCGTCTCATTGAACTTTGTTTTCAAGAAAATGTACAACCTAAACTTTGTTTTTCTCTTAACCAAACCCCATCTAACAAATTTAATTTAAAGTTTGCAACATCTGCAACACCAGCTAACACAACTAATTCACTGAATCCAATAAAGGAATTCTAGAAAACATCCAGATATAATTAAATTTATAAATCAGCTAGTTGTCTTCAAACTTTTAAAGGGAAAGACCGGCTATATAACATATTTGAGCTGAGTGCAATATTAGTTTGTAATATTTAACCAGTTGTTTCAGTCAGCAGAAGAAACGTTTTTTACAATCATTTAATAACCCGGACAAAACACGTGAAGAAATTAAGTTAATAACTAATTGGCTGTTTAGGAACATGTTTCTTAAAATAAATTATCATAAACACCATAGTTGAACCGTAGAATCAATTATTTCATTGTCATCAATACCATTGCTGTTTCTATATTTTTTCCGCAGATTTCTTCAAAATGTCGATTTCATAATTAAAATAAAGAAAACCTCCAACAAGCGACCCTAGCTGAAAGAATTTGTACAAACCTGCTAGATTTCAAAATAAATTTTATTAAATCATTTTCAATGATAGAAGTTTTTTATTTTTCTTAACCTGTTAACCTGTTTGTATACATGCAACTGTAGAATAGTATTTTTTTGTCCATGTCTTTTAGGATTTTTAAATAAAACGTTTCTGCTGCTGGCTGAAACAACTGGTAAAATATTACAAACGACTTTACGCTCTTAATTTGTGTAAAAATGTCTCTTTGGTATCAAATGAATCCTAAATTTTTTTTCTACAATCCTGCATTCTCAGTTCAAATATATTACATAGCCGGACGATAATAAAATCCTAAATTAGCTGAAATTAATACTTATAAATTCACTGAAATTATATCATCAATCGGCTAAAACTTAAATTTTATATCAGCTTAGATTGTACACATTTAATCAGTTGAAATTAAAGTTAACGATCAGCTGAAATTAGATCTATAAATCCGCTGAAATTAAACTTTTCAGTCAGCTAAAATTAAAGTCATGAATAAGCTGAACTGAAATGATCTTATTTTGTATAATCAATGTGTGGGTTTATATGATAAAATTAGTTAGTTTAATTTCAGTTGGTTTAATTATTTAGTTAAAACTTAACCTCCAAATCGGTTAAAATAAAATTTTTACTATGATAAATATTGATTTCTTCATGAATCCACTAATACGTATCTATTCCACAAATTCGAAATTATTGTTAGTCGACTGTTAATCAACTAAAATTATAAATCAAGCGAAAATAAAATAATTTCACACGCCTACTGAAATAGTACTAAAATCCTTTATAATATGCAGGGTGGCTAAAACTTTTTTTTTAAATCCGCACATTTCCGTACATTTTTTTTTGAAAAAAAATCCGTACAATCCGTACAATTTTTTTCGAAAAAATCCGTACAATCCGTTCATTAGAAAAAAATCGTACAATCCGTACAATTTTTGAAAAAAAAATCCGTACAAACCGTATATCTAAGAAAAATGTAACAATTTTTAAAGAAACAAGCATCAAAATTCAATTGTTCATGTGTGAGGGTTTAAACTTCTTGCTTTTTGATCTATCTGTAAAAAAGTACCTTAATACATATTTATACAAGTAAATTAGGATGATAATAAGAGGAGAAACAAGTAAATTAGGATGATAATGAGAGGAGAAACAAGTAAATTAGGATGATAATGAGAGGAGAAACAAGTAAATTAGGATGAGAATGATAGGGAAAAAAAGTAAATTAGGATGAGAATGAAAGAAGAAACAGGATAAATACACATTTGAAATCTTAAAATCTATAAGTATGGCATTTAGTCTTTTACTTCTTTACTTCTCTTCATTGGGATGGGTTTCCTTGTTTGTTTTAGCTTTTTAAAAAACACTCATTATTTAGCAAAAATCAATATTCTCCAAAAATTATGAATGAATTCTGCTCTAATTCTATTTAAAATGCAGAAAATAAGTTAAACCAACTTCATTTTGAAGAGATTTTTTTTTAAAGTTTTCATGAAAATTTTTCTGAAATTAGTCTTAAAAAAGGTGTATTTCCAGATAGAAAATCACCTAAAAAGGAAGGCTAAAAATCCGTACAATCTGTACAATTTGAAAAAAGGTACAATCTGTACAATTTGAAAAAAAGGTACAATCCTTACAATCCATACAATTTTAGGGTTATAAAAAATCTGTACAATCCGTGCAATTCGTACATTTTGGCCACCCTGCAGTTTCAACATAAATATAAAAAGCTGTACATAAAATAAAAATAAATTTACAATGTACATAAGACCATATCGGCATAAATCGCCACCAAATACAGTGTTTTCCCAATAATATAGTAAAAAAAGACGACTTTAGGTCGTCATCATATAATCAAGTTTTACCTGCTTAATGGTCCAGTCCCAATTGCTTGAAGAAAAAGGTCAAAGTCCTTGCTACCTGTCAGAGTGTACACTCCCTCCACCAGGTCGGGGCCTGTACAGTAAATTACACAGTGTACAGGGGCACAGTAGACAGTTCATAATGTACAGTGCGCTGTGCAGTGCAGTGCATTCAGGTTAAGAGTAATTTACAGTGTAATCTTATTACATTTTAAATGTTTTATCTATGGCTCAATTTAAGTAAGCAGGGTTACCCAGTACCCACTTCAGAGACGACTGCACGGCATTGACACTGTCCGTTTCCTTGTATCTATGATTCCCTGCAACTGTAAACGACTATGTTCATGAAAGAATACGTAATTAAACTTGAAAACATCATAGTTTCAGGTCCTTTTTAACCCTGGGTAACCCTGTACATTTACCAGGGGGTCTCAGTATTTTGGCAAGACTTAATCTTCTTTTTTCTTTATCGTAACCTTCTTCTCCTTCTCCTCTTTTCTTTTCAACCTAAAACACATTCCTTTTAACCACAATCTTCTCTTTTAGATTTCTTGTTTACTTGGATAATGTCAGTTTTGAATTTATTTAAACGCAATTTTGTATTATTGCGCTCTATTCACATACGACCCTCCCCCCCCCGCAAAACTAAAGGCGTTCTTTAGAATTCAACAGCCATCAATTTCTTTCTGTGTTTATTTAGAATCGGAAAAGTGTTTTCGAATTTTAAGTTGACATCGCCATGTGTCTTGATAGGGCTGCTTCAGGGGCGTAAATCGGAATTTGTCCAGGGGAGGGGGCTCTAAAAAACGTTCTATCCAAGAGGGGCTCAGCAATCGTTGAGGACTGAAACCCCCCATGAAACCATAGTTTTCACTGATCCAGGGGGGGTAGCTGATCTACCTGTTTATCAATGGTTTGAATTAGGCTGGAAATCTTATCCAAGTTCAATAAGTCAGCAAGCTCAGATGTACTCCCTAGATAGATAGATAGATAGATAGATAGATAGATAGATAGATAGATAGATAGATAGATAGATAGATAGATAGATAGATAGATAGATAGATAGATAGATAAATAGATAGATAAATAGATAGATAAATAGATAGATAGATAGGTAGATAGATAGATAGATACCTAAATCAAGGCTAAGTTTTCGTCCCTTATTTGTATCAACCACTGAGCATTTTCTCCTAAAATAATAATAATTGACTAAAAATATGGAAAAGTGCTGAATTTCAACAATTTCCTCAATTCTGCTGCAAAACTAACTAACCACGTTTAAATTACATCTACATGTCCCTGAAGTTTACTATTATTTATGATCGTCGTACTATTCTATATTGATGATATGAAGACAACTTTGATTTCCAGTCAAGGGTATATAAAACACAATAAAACAGGCAGAAACAAACAAAAATGTAAACACACAGAAGCTGTTAATTCAATAGAAAGATATTCTTTGTTATTAAAATATTTGGGATCAATAAATTAAAATAAAATAATGTAAAATGGATTAAAATATTCAGGCTTATTTAATGTTATTTATCTTACGGGGTATATAACCCTGAAAATATACTTAAGTTGGGATGTTTTTTTTACACTTTAGTGTATTAGACATTATTACCCTAGCTAATGTCTTAAAACAATAATAGCTGAAAAACAATGATCATACACCCCTTAACTATAAAAGCTTGTTAAAGAGCTTACAATATCTATGATTCTAAAAGAGCTTAAAGGGAGTGACCGACAATGGATGGTAGTTGAACTGAAAATGTAGTAATGTGGAGACATTTTTTTATGATTCATTTGAGACTTATGAAACGTTTTAAGTATGTATAATTACTGAGCTTGAGCAAAAGTCGACGTTCAAAATCATCCATTTGGCTAGTTACGATACAGTTCAACTACCATACATTGCCGGTCACTCCCTTTAAGAAAAATGTTGTAAGGCCCAAAAAGGATTCCTGTCCTTACCTTCGCCTACAAAAGATATTTTTTTTATTTCTGGAGAAAATGAGCCTTTTTGTAGATCTATCGTGATGTAAGTTGATGTAAGTTACCTGCCCTTCCACCCCCATTGTGTTTCTGCCCCCCCCCTAAACTGTTTTCTGCCCTCCCCCCCTAATTCCCTGGGGATTACTAGAGTTTCTGATATTTTAGCCTCATAAAGGATCTTTTTGTGGGGGAAAGAGGCGTCAGGGGGAGGATGAGTGGGAGGGGGAGATGGAGGGGGATGGGGTGTTATGGAATGTTTTAGGAATGTGATATTTAACTCAAATTATCTTTTAGTTCTATTAGTTCTTTAACATGTCGTGGGGGGGGGGATATGAACATGTTTTGTACAGGATTGTAAAAATGTCTAAATGTAGTGATAATTATTCTTATTACATATTATAGAAGATCCATTTTTCTGTTTCTATTAATTAATTTTAACTATTAATTTTTAATTTTAAATGATATATTTGATATATAGAAAATATATTTTGTATGACAAATGTTAACCTGTAAAACCTAACGGAAAATAAAAATATTTAGGTTTAAAAGATAAAATTTGTGATTAATATCCTGTTTCATGATATTAAAGGTGTATAGTAATTTCAAGTTAAAAAGTTACATGCACTTTCACAGGCGCAACAATTTGGATATAAGAAATAAACTATTGTTTTCTGCAGTGTGTTTTCGGTATACATCTACATGTTCCTTAGATACTGAAACTTAATTTAAAATTATCAATTTTTAAAAGACCCTGTTGTAATTTGGGCATGCAACTTTTTTTAAATGGAGAATTCAAGGTTTTTTACTCTGTAACCTGTATCCTGTACTTTACTTTGTATCCTGTATCATGTACTCTGTATCATGTGGCAATGAGCCTGTTTCGTATATAGTCTGTATCAATGGTATCTGTATCCTGTACATTATATCCTGTATCATGAACTCTGTATCCTCAGTCCAAATGTCCAAAAGCCTGTATCCTGTATCATGTACTCTGGAAGGTGTATCGTTTACCCTGTTTTCTCTTATCGTCCATTAAACCCAGCTAGAGGTGATGTAAGAAATATTAAGTAGGTGAAGGATTAAAGCAATGTTCAAAAGAACTATTTTTCTGATTAATCAATTAATTAATCATTTACCTGAAATCTTCCAATTCTCTGTACGGACTGAGCGAGCAGCTTTTCCTTGCTGCTGCTCTTCTTTGCTGCTCCTTTGTTCTTGGTTCCATTTCGCAGCTTCCTTCCTTCTCCTCCTCTTCTCTCATATTTTCATCTTCCTCCCTAACCTCTAGATCCTCCTGAAGAATATTTTTATTAAATTAAACTTAAAGCATTAAAAATAATTTAACCAAAGCTGGGATCTTTTGTAATGAATACCCATAATACCGATCGCTTGATCTCGATATCCAAGTGCACACTTTTGAATTAAAATGAGCATCTGCTTGTCCACTTTATTTTTGATATCCCTACTATCTACTTTTTGCACTTCATGGAATATCGAATAAAGATTAAATTAATCTATTATAGCAAAGAAAAGCTTTAGATAATCAAGCATTGATCTCGATATTCACAATACAAGAGTTCACACCTAAAATAGTGTAAACTCTCATGATGGAGTACAAGGAATATAGGTTTTGACTTAGGTATCTCTTTTATCATGTTATCATGTTATCAACAATATAAACAAAATAAACAATGTTAACTCCTCAGGTCGGCAAATATGAACCAAAGCGAAGCAGTTGAACTAATCATAGATGTTTTAACTACTAACCGTGTGCCACCAACTTTAACCATTGAAATGTTGTTGAATTTGATCTCGGTGACACAAAAATATTTGAACCAATTACGATTAGTTCTAAACTAATTACTTGTTGCCAATAAATTTCTATTTCAGTTTTTTCTATTTCTAATTTTTGTTTGAGTTTAAGATATGAGGGGTAGACTGGTAGAGGCCCCCCCCCCGGTACACACTCTAAACATACACACAGGGTTACCCACAAAGGATGAGACTTCAGAGACGATTGTACGGAATTTGTTAAGTTCATTTTCTTGTATTCAGAGTTCCTTGTAGGCCAAAGCTTGCCTAATGCCTAATTAATCATTTAGTAAACCTTTAGAATATTCAATTGAATGCAGAAACCAAAAATCAAGCTTCAAATCTCACATTTTTAGAGTTTTGGGTCGTCTTTACAATCTCATCCTTTGTGGGTAACTCTGTATGTAATTAACATTTAGAAAATCCTGTGTACACCCTGCCAAATATCTCACCAGGTTTTCATTAATTCTGTTTAGCTGCACTAGAACCCTGGACAACCTTTTCTCTCGCATTGCTCTGCAAACAAGGAAATTTAATCTGAGAGGGACTGGTCGCGTTTTATAAGTGGCTCTCTAATTTAATCTGAGAGGGACTGGTCGCGTTTTATAAGTGGTTCTCTAATTTCATGAGTAATGTACTCACGATTATTTTTTAAGCCTTTTTCTGATAAAAAGTATTGAAGGCATCTTTGTTTCCTATCAGAAAATTGAAAAAAATTCATTGTGGTTTATTCAAGAGTAAATACAAAATATGTTGTTGTTCAGATAACGCTTTAAAAAATACAATTTTGAGTTGAAAATGAAAATCGGAAAATAAACTTTAATATTTCTCAAAATTCGATTTCAGTTTTTAAATCAGTATTTCAATTAAGTCAATATTTCAAGCCAGTGTTTCAAGTTAGTATTCCAAGTCAGTATTCCAAGTCAGCATTTTAAGTAAGTATTTTAAGTCATTATTTCAAGTCAATTTTTTAAGTTAGTATTCCAAGTCGTCAGTATTACAAGTCAGTATTCCAAGTCAATATTTAAAGTTAGTATTCCAAGTCAGTTTTACGAGTCAGTATAGTATTCCAAGTTAGTATTCCAAGTCAGTATTCCAAGTCAGTATTCCAAGTCAGTATTTCAAGTCAGTATTTCGAGTCAGTATTTCAAGTTAGAATTCCAATTCAGTATTTTTAAGTCATTAATTCAAGTCAGTATTTCAAGTTAGTATTCCAAGTCGTCAGTATTACAAGTCAGTTACCAAGTTAGTATTCCAAGTCAGTATTCCAAGTCAATATTCCATGTCAGTATTCCAAGCCAGTATTCAAAGTCAGTATTCCAAGTCATTATCTCAAGTTAGTATTCCAAGTCAGTATTCCAAGTCAGTATTCTAAGTCAGTATTTCAAGTCAGTAGTTCGAGTCAGTATTTCAAGTCAGTATTCCAAGTTAGTATTTCAGTCAGTATTCCAAATCAGTTTTCCAAGTTGATATTCAAAGTCAGTACTCCAAGTCATTACTCACCTTTTGAAAGTGCCAGCACAGCCTGTAAGACAATTGTGACCAGGTGCACCGTGTGCTAAAAGATAAGAATTATCAAATATGTTCTCTTTGGGGGACAACCCAGCCCTCAACCCCCCCCCCTTCCCCCTTTTTAGAATGGTAAGTTAACTTCGCAAAAACAATATGAAATTTTGAGATACGTCTCTTGCCTTTGTTCGCTGCTTATATAGCATAACAAAATTGTACACAGGCGGTTAACCACCCCAGTCAATTCTTCAATTTTGTTACTCATCCCTTAGTCTTATTCCCTTTTCTTTATGCAATTTATTGTTAAATCATTTTTCTTTCACTGAAAACTCCGGTTAATTTGAAGTACCGTTCCGACTTATAGGCATTTGAAGTAAGTCGTACAGTATACATACAACGGAAAGTACGTATAATGGGACAATATACACCTAATGAACCATGAATATTCAGCACAAATGCAATAAATATATGGGCTTTGTGAATTTCATGAAAAATGTTTAACTCTAAGTTTTATATTTAATCCTATTTTTATGGATTAATATTTAGCTACACATGCAGAACGCAGGACGTGGTGAATTTGATTATTCTTTGCAATACGTGAGGAGTAAGAGGGGGGAGCATGAGGGGTATAGTAAAATAGATTATCAAGTACAATAGGTGGCAACAGAGAAATGGACGAATTATATGCAACGTCACAAGTGTCAAATATAACAAGGAAAACGAAATGTTCTCACATTAGTTGACATGTTTTCTAAGATTAAATAAAAAAGTATAAAAACAGAAAATAAAGAACACATAAAATTGTACAAATTTTTTGGAAGATAATCACTTTTTATCTAAAATTACCACTATTATTAATAATTATGTCAGACACAAAAACTGTATTGACACTTGTGACGTCAGAATACAGATGTACTGAGAGTGTACAAATTTTACGTTGCCATCTATTGAGAATCTATTTGATCTGCACCATTTTTTAGCATTACAGGGTGTAAAGAAAATTTAGTTCGGTTCAAGAAATTTCTTTTTTTAAATTATAAAGTGTGCTTTTTACCTGGTGGTGCACCACCAGGGTCTCTAGATTCAACCATCATATTTTTCTAAGAAATATCTAGCAAATACACAAATATGAGAGATATCTATCTATCTGCTTTATCATAATAAGCATCAAAAGATTGAATTATTAATAAACATTGAGTAAAAAAAACTTTATGAAAATTGAAAGTAGATTTATCTAACACTTCTCTTGAAGCGTGGCAAAATATTTTTTTCGTCTCAGAAAGTATAAATGAGAAAGATAAAAATTTCAACAATTCGAATTTGCAACGGACTGAATTCCTTTGGATAAATTTTTTAACACAGCAGAGAATTTAAAGAAAAAATTATAAAAATGAACAGTTACGACTCATGATGATAGTTTTATTAAACCAACACTTTTAACAGTTTCAGGTAAACTAAAAGTGTTTCTGAATCTGCGCTTATTGCTTCCAACATCTCGGCACCTGTTCCCTTTCCGCTCTGATCGGCGCGCTACCCGGGCGCCGAGAAATAATGCGGGAAATTCCTTTCCGTCTGATTCAGAAAACTAGAAATATTTGATTGAATCGCATATTTGCAGGCTAACTCACAAAGGAAGAGACTTTAAAGGAACAGTGGGTGTAGTTTCATGTCTCCCTCAATTTAAAGGAACAGTGGGTGTAGTTTCATGTCTCCCTCTATTTAAAGGAACAGTGGGTGTAGTTTCATGTCTCCCTCTATTTAAAGGAACTGTGGGTGTAGTTTCATGTCTCCCTCTACTTAAAGGGACTTTGGGCGTAGTTTTATGTCTCCCTCTATTTAAAGGAACTGTGGGTGTAGTTTCATGTCTCCCTCTATTTAAAGGAACTGTGGGTGTAATTTCATGTCTCCTTCTATTTAAAATAGAGTGACATGTGCTACTTACCACAGTACTCTTTAAACCCTTTAAATCTCTATTTAAGTAACTTTAAGGAAGATATTGGGTTTTTTACCTAAAAAGTGTAGAATTATGTTTTAAACATATTGAATGAATATTTTCTAAGAACTGGAGCATATCTAAGGTCACAACTGTGAATTGAAAATTAAAAGTGTTTAAATTTTCGTGAATGTTTTTATCAAATATTTGTAGAGAACGGACTTAATTTCAAGATATTTCACATGATTAATCCGGGAATTAATTGGATCAAAACTCCACGAAAATTAAAAAGTTTCGAACATTTAATATAGTTCCATTTCCTGTCGAGATTTGGGAGAGAAAAAAAACGTAAAAATTATTTAGCCCTGAAATCTTTGGGTTAAAATACTCGTAATTTGATGGGATGAGATATTAATGGCCGTTTAAACGCATTTTATAACATTACTTTTCCTAATAAATTTAAAGAAAGGTGTGGGGGGGGGGGGGAGTATTTCCTGATTTCTAAATGTTTACAAACAAACTGAAAAGAATTCGGCATTGACCCCCATTCAGAAAATTAATTAGAAATTTCTACAAATCCGAATGCATTTAATTTGATGAAATCTGGGGTCATTGCAGATTTTTATGCACAATCTTGGACACAACTTGATTTTTTTTGGAAAACTCATTTCGGCTTCGCCCATTTCATGTTTCATATTTATGGAGAGAGGTGTCAAAATTAAAAATATGATGCCCCCCCCCCCCCATCAAAAATGATGGATATCAAAAGTTTACATCATCAGCATAAAAGATTTTATTTGCAGAGATAAATTAAATATTTTGTTTTAAATCTGAATCCTTAAAAGAGGTCTTTTTGCATCAAATAAATTTGTGGGACTTTTAAACTTAAACTTAAAGGTTATGAATTTGGGGAATACACTTTTTGAAAGTACATATATGGGCAATCTTGTTTATTTTCATAATTTTGATCATCTTTTACTTTTTGTTCATCTTTTTTACCTTGTTCATCCTGAGATGGAATTTAAAGAATTTAAGCCGCGGTTTAAATCCGCCAAAACCCGGTTTAAATTAAGCGCCGGTTTAAATCTTGAAACATTTGATACAATTTTAAGTGGAACCAACCATATTTAAACCGCGGCTTAAATTTAAACCGCCGCTCAAATTCTAAAATTCGGCCGCTGTTCATCTTGATAATTTTTTCAGCTTTTTCATCAATTGTTCAACTTGTTCATAATGTTCATACATCAATTTGGGGGAACAGTTTGTTAAAAATAAACAAAGGCTATCTTTTTAATTTTCATAATTTTGTTCATCTTATTCATCCTGTTCATCTTCTTCATCTTATTCATCTTATTCTTCTTATTTATCTTATTCATCTTGTTCATCTTATTCATCTTATTCATCTTATTCATCTTATTTATCTTATTTATCTTATTCATCTTGTTCATCTTATTTATCTTATTCATCTTATTCATCTTATTCATCTTATTTATCTTATTCATCTTGTTTATCTTGTTCATCTTATTTATCTTGCTCATCTTATTCATCTTGGTCATCTTATTAATCTTATTCATCTTGATCTTCTTATTCATCTTGATCTTCTTATTCATCTTATTCATCTTGATCTTCTTATTCATCTTATTTATCTTGCTCATCTTAATTATCTTGTTAATCTTATTCATTTTATTCATCATATTAATCTTATTCATCTTGTTAATCTAGCTCATAAATAACTATGTCAAACCTGTATTGAGATTAACCTAACCTAACTTGTAAATAACTACGTAAAACTAGTAATTATGCATTTTAACTTATCCTGTACCATATAACTCAAAATATACGTTAGTTGGAATAATACTTCACTTGATTACGGTGTAGGAGTAATCCATCCTTGTGTAGAGAACAAGACGGATCTGAGTTGTTTCTTAGTTAATAGACATAGACTAGTAAAATACAGAGAGTATAGTATCCAGATTGATACATCCCAGGGTATTATTGTGGGCCAAGCAGTTCTACGACAGTTTGTACCTAATACCTATGCAATACATTCTGAAGTCGTATCCAGATTGATACTGACTGAGTATATTGATAGAATGAGAGAGTTCTAGATCAATCTGCACCTAGGTGATATTGCTTTATACTACAGAGTCTACAGAGGTTGTGTCTGGATTGATATAAACCAAGTATATTGAGGGAACGGATAGTTCTAGATCATTCTGTACCTAGGTGATATTGCTGCAGACCACAGATTCTACAGAGGTTGTAACTAGATTGATACCATCCAAGTATATTGAGGCAACGGATAGTTCTAGAGCAGTCTGTACCTTGGCAATACAGACTATGTTGTTCTAGTAGGAGTTCTACGGAGGTTGTATCTGGATTGATAGGTACTGACGGATATGGAGCTAGTATCCAGATTGATACTGACGGATATGGAGCTAGTATCCAGATTGATACTGACGGATATGGAGCTAGTATCCAGAATGGAGCTAGTATCCAGATTGATACTGACGGATATGGAGCTAGTATCCAGATTGATACTGACGGATATGGAGCTAGTATCCAGATTGATACTGACAAAGGAACATTGTTTTGAGAAGGCATTTACTACATTCATTTTATTCATCATATGTTTTGTGAATTTTATACATTTGTTTATCTTATACATTTTTCACATCATACTAATCTTACTAATCATGTAAATAATGTTCATCTTATTCATTTTGATCATTAAGTTCATCTGTTCGTCTGGTTTATCTGTTCTTCTCATGTTCATCTGTTCGTCTCTTGTTCATCTGTTCGTCTGGTTTATCTGTTCGTCTCTTGTTCATCTGTTCGCTAACATGCATTATTAGCGTGTTTCTGAATGTATTTCCTAAACGAAGGAGACCTATATTCCTGTTCACACTTCTAGCAAACTAAGAGTAATTACATATATAAATTATGAAGTAGAGATAAAATCAAAATTTCAGCTCTTTCTTTTGTAAAACTTATTTTAAGGCTGTTTTCTGTAAAAAGTTTAATAAAATAATAAATGCGTCAGCCTTGTATTTTTTTATTTAAAGAAATATGTTCTTAATCAGGGCATAATACAACCCAGACAGAACTGTGATGTCATTTGCCAACTATGAGCGTTAAACATAAATCAAAACTGCGCAGATTGATTCTTTGCGCAGATGATACAGAGTGAGCGATTCAAGTTAGATCAATAAAGAAAGAATAAACTTTAATGGCACCATTTTTAACCAGGCCAAATAAACAAAATTTAACATTATTTAACAACAATTATGCAGAGTCTATATAGTAAAAGAAGACGCACATTCTGGCCGTACTATTATTATTAGTATTAAGATTTATTTTCACAAATATAACTGATACAATATTGTGTAGAATTGTAAAAAAACAAGTCAAATAAAATAATTCTAAAAATTAAGTTCTAATTTCACAAACGTTCTATTTCAAAGTAATCTATAGTCAGCTTTTTAAAAAATCAAATCATTTTCATGAGTATATTCAACATGTTGATTCAGTAAAATGTAAAAACGTTCGAAATTATGTATAACAAATCAGCATATAATAAACTATTCAAACATATAGACTTTTCCAGCCATGATAAAGGATGTATATTGTATACCCATTCTCGAGGTTTCTGGTAAATGAAGAACACTTTAAAGTGTTTTATACATACATCGCATCACTATGGTTTCAGAAGTAGTAAATATTTCCATTTAGTATATAGCGCTGATATATATTCTAATTGGATGATGAGATAGATAGAAAGATAGATGTTACCGCTATGCAATTTCTATTGGTTCAGAATAAAAACCAAACACATGACTGAAGACCTGATTGGATCAAGCGCTAATGGACTCGGCATACAAGAGTGCAGCTTTATTTATAAAGTACTTTCATATGTTTCATACTCCAAGGACCGCCTATCCATCTTAATTTTGAATCTCAGGTCAATTAAAAATAATTTCACAAATTCCTAGAATTCTGATCCACGCCCATTCATTCATCATTGTGAAAAGACACAATTTTAGAAAGCGAATTTATTTTGCAATTTAGTTTAATTTAAACAAAACTATAGCTGATTATTCGTCATTGCCCGTGGAATTATGAAAATCAACCGATACAGAAAACGACCTTCTTTAAGTTTAAACGGTTAATCTTAGAGATAAGCTACATATATTCATTCGTTACCCAGAGAGAGGGAAATGTAACATTTCTTATTTTAGTTATGTCTCTTTTGGTGTCATGCAAGGTAGTTTTATGTATGGGATTGAACAACATCGTTTCTTTCTTATTTTAAGTGCAAATTACTGAAATTGGAAAAATATGCAAGAAAGAATTCGGTCGCCATGAGCCTTTATTTATACCTCAGATCCGCAGTATTTGCCAAATAACATCTGAACCGCGCAAAACAAGATCCGAATCTTGTTTTTCTTTCCCAAAAGCCCCGCAAAACAATCTCCAAATCTCATATTTCTACCTCCTGTAGTTCTTGGTTCTGGAGGTGACAAGTGGGGTTCATGGCAGCCACCCCCCCACCCCTCCCCTGCAAGCATATCCCTGCATTAAAGTCAATTTGCGAATATGTCACCTTATCGGCATTGAAGCAAGGCGTATCTGGTATTTTTGCGGCTTTCTTTGACATTGCACTTCTTGAATTGCATTTATTGCCTTTAATGAGGTAAAAAAAAAACTAGCAAAGGGATTTTAATTTTAATTATTTCAAGTTTAACAAGACACAAGAATTTAAGTTCTCTAAAGGGGAAGGTTAAAAGTCAAAGGGAGGGTTTACAAAAATAAAAGGGGGTATAAAGGTTGATAACTTATCCTAGTTGTAAAGAGTCCCGCCCCCTCTTACAAATCAGATGCCTTTAGTGGGGCGCTGCCCCCTGCCTACCCCTAAATAAGCTCTATATTAGGTAATGTTTATTTAGTTAAAGGAAAAGAAGATTTACGCAAAATAAAAAGTAAAAGCTGTAAATTGCATTTTTGATTTTGTGCACTAAACATATGTATTACTGAGAGTTTCTTAGCAAATTAAAAAGGGCAGAAAGTTGCTCATTGGTTGGAGGCCGAGGATCTGATTGGATTGGAGGATCAGGTGCGGTTAAAGGATCTGGATCAATTGCAGGATCAGGTTTAAACCTAAATCTTCGGTTCCATATATAAAATACTATTTATTGCAGAATATAAATGTAGAACTAGATCACTGTACTAAAGAGTTTCCTTAAACTTTTAACCATATTTACTCTAAAGGAAAAGTCCAACGGCAAATTTATTTCTACGTCTAATATTATAATAGAACGCTCTAGAATACTTGTGATTTAAATTAATCCATTTTAATTTTTTTGCAACCCCTCTTTGAGATGGAGAATAAACTGGGAAAGACAAAGATAAACCAATGGCCAATTTACCTTATTCAATGTTACCATATAGGTACAACTATAAGTCGTATCTATCTATTCTATCTACACTGCTCTGGTAAAGCGTAACCATAGTGTGACTATGGTTCTACCTATGGCAGTACGTCTAAGAAATCGGCCACAAGTTTATCCCACATTGTAAAGTGTTGATTCAAGGGAGAAGAGTTGAGTACTAGAGGAGCGGGGAAAGGCAGGCGGCCATGAACCACCACTATTTTTTCTCCTGGGCCACATATTTGCTTTTTTTCTCTTCCGGCAGCCATGAGCCACCACTACTTCCTCTTCCATACCACCAAATTTGACTCTTCCGGGCAAAACTACTTTTTTAGATGATTTATATTAATGGCCTTTAAAGTGTGATTTTCAAAGGCCGTACCTTGGGTTTCTAATATTCCGGGGGGAAAATTCAATTTAGGAACTGGAATGATCCGAAACATTTTTCCGTAAACTGGAATTCCAGGATAAATCCGGATGAAATGACAACCAGAATTTTTTTTTCATTTTTCGGAATTGAAACTGAAAAAATTCTGTTTTCAATTCAATAAACAAGAAAAATTTCTGGATTTCATTCCATAAATCAGAAAAAATGCAGATTCCATCCCAAAAACGAACAAATTTCCGGGTTCCAATTCGCAAACCGGACATTTTTCATCCAACATGACAACTAAATGGTTGAGGTTCGTTTCTACCAGTCTACATAATGTGACCCAACCCGTGTTTCCTAAAAACCATATAATATAATATAATTTATGAATTTGTGTAAAAATCCTAAAAAATTCTTGTTTCAATAATATGTAAACTACAGATTATCCATGCATTTTAGTATTTACTTTAAAATGGCCCATTGGCTTAGAAACCCTAAGCAGTACCTTTAATGAAGAAAAATTATTATTGAGTTTACATTACATTTAGCTCAATCAATAAGACCATGAAAGTCCAATTTGTCAAATATTTTGCAATATTTTAATAGTGCAAAGAGAGATATGTTGCAAATATGCTGCAAAATGTTTTTCTATAAATATATCAAGTTCAAGAGAAATTTAATAAAATCAAATTAAATTTAATTTGTGCAGATACAGGGTGTCTCAGGAAACTTAACAGTCGCAAGACGACTCGTGAAGGTCATCTTTGATCTTTCAAATAATTTGCGGTATTTATTTATAAACCAAAGTTTTAAAGTATATGTTTAATGTTTATAAAGTTTACAACCACAAAATAAGCAAAATTTCCAAAATGTTGTCTGCAATTTTTGTGCTTTTAATAATATCAGAGTTATGAAGAGTTTTGTTCAGATTTCGACAAACAATGACAATAAGACATGAAAAACAATTATATTTTTATTTTTTTAAATTGTTTTATATCACATTTTATTCACGTTAGTTCAGTCTATTTTTCTATGTCTATAACTGAAGGAATTTTAATTGATGGTATGTTATGCTCCCCTTGACAAATGATGGTTCAAGTCACTTATTTCATAACTTATGACACAAAATCACAGATTTTATCATAACTTAAGACACAAAATCACAGATTTGATCTGTGACACTGAATCCATTATCCACATTAGATCTGTGATGATAAGTCTATATCTTATGTCAGATCAGAGATGATAAGTGGGAATATCATGTTAGAACTGTGATAATAAGTCCAAATCTCATGTCAGATCTGTGATGACAAGTCCAAATCTTATATCAGAACCGTGATAATAAGTCCATATCTTATGTCAGATCTGTGATGATAAGTCCAAATCTTATGTCAGAACCACGATAATAAGTCCATATCTTATGTCAGATCTGTGATGATAAGTCCAAATCTTATGTCAGAACCGCGATAATAAGTCCATATCTTATGATAGATCTGCCATGATAAGTCCATATCTCATGGTAGATCTATGATGATAAGTCCATATCTCATGATAGATCTGTGATGATAAGTCCATATCTCATGGTAGATCTATGATGATAAGTCCATATCACATGATAGATCTGTGATGATAAGTCCATATCTCATGGTAGATCTGTGATGATTAATTCAAATCTTATGATAAATCTGTGATGATATGTCCAAATCTTATGATAGATCTGTGATAATAAGTCCATATCTCATGTAGATCTGTAATGATAAGTTCATATCTCATGTGAGATCTTATGTCCTCTTATTATATATCAATATTTCTATTTCCTCCTTCTATCCCAGCAGCAAGAAACTTGATTGGCTGATCTCGAAACTTTACATAAACTTTAGGATTCGACCTCTCCACCCTCTCTGATTGATCCAGCTGTTCCGGCCTCGAGTAAACCGAGGATATCCGGATCCCCCCGGGAGCCGGAGGTTGAGGCGGAGGACCTACTGGAGGTCTGGGAGGGGCAAATACTATCTTCTGTCCATGGTATCCTAGTCCTCGTTTGTTCCAGGTCCCTTGGCCGTCCTCTTCTCCATCTATAAGAAGGAGAACAGAATTAGACTAGTCTGGCCTCTTAAAGAGACTGTAAGCGGGAGTTCAAGTGACCCTTTATGCAAAGCTGGCAATGCCCGATTCACATTCAAATCAAAACCTTTATCTAATCGATATTGTACTTTTGTTTCTAGAATTTAAAATTTTCAAATCTTATAACTCCTATTTGTTATACTGCAGTGGAAAAATGCAAGTCATTTTTGTAGAGAAACCACAATCGAAAACATTGATATTAAATTCATACTTGATCAGACAAACCTTGGTAGGGTACCATTGTACCATCTTTGCATGGAAGGTCAATTGAAATAATACTTACAGTCTTATCAAACTATAAGGGTCTTAACAAGGATCAGAGCAAAATAAGGATTAGAATATAAAAGGGATTATAAGAGTGGATTCCATATTCTCCCCCCCCCCCTCCTCAAATCTAGATAAAACAAAAAAGATCTTGAGTGTTGCAAATAAAGACAATTTGTCGTTGTAAAATGTTTTCAGATTAAAACTTACCAATAGCAGTCGGTATTCCGGAGTTTTTGGCTCCTAGTCCCATTCCCTCCTTCCATCCAGCCTCCTTCATCGTCCTCCTACTCCTATAGTGTACACCTGCATAATAAATATATATACTATTACCACAGTCCCATTCCCTCCTTCATGATCCGTCCTCCTACTCCTCTAGTGAACACCTGCATAATAAATATATATACTATTACTCCAGTCGCATTTCCTCCTTTCATCCAGCCTCCTTCATGATCCGTCCTCCTACTCCTATAGTGTACACCTGCATAATAAATATATATACTATTACTTAAGTCCCATTCCCTCCTTCCATGCAGCCTCCTTCATGATCCGTCAACCTACTCCTCTAGTGAACACCTGCATAATAAATATATATACTATTACTCCAGTCCCATTCCCTCCTTCCATCCAGCCTCCTTCATGATCCGTCA